TTTTATATAATATAGCTATATATATTATATATTTCCGCCGCGCACCACGTAGATGTTGCTGAAGCCGGTGAGCACCAGGTTCTTGAGCAGCTCGCAGCCGATGCCGCCCGCGCCCACCACGAGCACCCGCGCCTGGGACACGGCCTGGGCCAGCTCGAGGCGCAGCGGCCCCGACAGCGGCGCCGCCATGACGGACACGGCGGCGGCTCCGCGCGCCTCCTCACGGCCCGCGCGGGGCGGAGCGCCGCCCGCGCCCCGCCGCGCCCCCTGCCGGCCCGGAGGACCGCGCGGGAGAGCTGGGAGGGGCGCCCCAGGTTCGAGTCCCGCTCCCGCCGGGAACCGCCCCGCGCCCGTCCCAGAACGCAGCGCTGGGCACCCGGGGACCGGCACGGCCGGCACAGAGCCGGAGCACCCAGGCAGCGCTCCCGGGCAACGCGAGAGCTTTACTTGTGTTTGTTTTGAATATATTAATATTTTAAATATACATATTTAATATACTTATATATTCAATATCACGATATAAGTAATGTTTATATATTTAATATATTTATATAATATAGCTATATATATTATATATTTATATATTAAATAGATTTAGATCATAAATATATTTATGTATTATATTACTATATAGAGAGTTCACGAAGCATTTGTACAACGCTCTCATGCTGGGATTCTTGGGGTATTTATTCTGTGCAGGATGAGGAGTTGGACTCGATGATCCTGATGGGTCCTTTCCAACTCAGCATATTCTATATTTTTAATCTACTTAACATATTTATATTTAATATTTTTTGTATATTTATTATTATTACTCAGCCTAAGTTAACAAACTCTCCTCTAGAAGTTGATGTCATAAGCTACAATTCTTCCATTAAAAAGTAGCTTTGCAAACACATTCCACCAGTTCAGGCTGTCCTGTTGTCTGTCTGTGTGTCTCCCCCTCCCCTCATTTTAAGCACACACTTTTACAGCACTAATTTATCCTGCAGCATTAAACCTGTACAGAATGCTCAAAGGACACTGACTTAAGTTACTCCTCCATTCAGTCAATTTAGATACTGCAATTTAGCCCAAACCAACAGGGAATGCCAAAGAATGCAGGCAGTTTAAAATTAAAGCAGCACAATTGGATTGTTGCATTGTTACACACTTTCCCTTGTAGCTAAGAAAAAAACCAAAAACCCATAACAAGAAAAAACATCCAACGGACTTTTCATCTATGTAGAGAAATACAATTTATTTAAATAATTTCTGATCTGGGTCTTCTTGTACAAAAATAAATTCTTCAAGAGGTGTTTGGTGATTTGTTGGCCAACAGCTTCTCTCGCATGTGTAAACTATAACAGTTCCAAATTCCACTGACAGATCTAAAAACAAAGCAACAAAGGCAGGTGAAGGCAAGAAAAGTGACATAACTGGGGACTATTGCTTACCACTATACTTCAATCTTTGCAGAAACTATTAACTCAGAAACTATTTCTCATATTCAGTCTCCTATGTACACAGCATTTTCTGATTTTAAACGTTTTAAAGCAAGTTGACTTGGAATTTTTAAAGAGCTCCTTAAGTGTCTGCAATCTTATCTGACAATATTTATTATTTTCCAAGGCCTCCTTTAAGAGGCAATAAAGACAAATTACTCCCAGGGTCGTGGAATGATCCCTGTTGGAGCTATTAAAGTTCACTGGTGAGCAAGTGAAGGTGCAATCACAGAGTACTCCCTTTTGCTCAGTGAAATCTCTAATGGAAACAGTGAATTCTACAGAACATGATCACTGTAGTGAAGCACATCAGTGCCTGTGGGGAAAAAGAAACAATCCAAATAGCAAAAAGGTGACAGTTTGTGGTATTGACTGGACTAAGGCAGAGCTCAGCACCTGAGTCACTCTGGAGCAGGCTGACCAGGGCTGGCATCAGCTGCATTTCAAACACTCTGCTGCTCCCACAGGTACTGCAGGCTGGAACACCCTGGCTGACGTTGGCTGGAGGACACGTGATGAACAAAGGCTGCCCACCCCAAGAGTATCTAAGAGAAGAAAGGAAGGAACAATTAATTATTTTTACCACCTAAATTTGATAGGAAAACTGACATCTTGGCAACTGTGTTCTGGTTTCACTGCAATCTCTGAATTTGCTTGAAGTAAAAACCATGGTTATGAGTCAGAATTGTTGCCCAAGCTTCAAAAGAGTCATTAAACAAATAAAGATGGGAAGGGGGAAATACTTGGAAGGCCAACACGTGGAAAATCTTTAGGAAAGACCTGGTTTTAAGGAGATAAATGCTTTGAATTGAAACCTCCAAAATATGCTGTACCTGACTCATTTAATTAAGGAAACTACACTTTCCTGAAAAGTGGAATCCTAAATAGTAGCAGTAAAAGGTAAGATTCAAGGAAAAGATTCAACACAGAATAGGTCTCGAACCCACTGCAGTTATGGCTCAGAACTGGTGTTTTATTTTTAAGAGCTCTCACAGCCTCACAACTAACAGGAAACCCAGACCAAGGATGGTTTCCACTGAACACCAAGCAGGAGATTGTGTGCTTTGCTGAAGCTCAACAAGATCCACAGCCCAGGAGCAGTGGGAGTCCAACAGCACTGACATAACCCAGGGAGGGCAAAGGGAGGGCTATGGAAAGATTATAATGAGTGTTATATTAATATTTAAACTTTAAAATATATTTTTAATAATGTAATATTTATATTTTAACGATTTTAAATGTTTTATTATTTATAATTAATATTTTACGTCCCAGGAATCACCAGAGGTGATGTTTTAGAATAAAAAATTCCAAGAGCACAATACTGCAAAGTGATAGATCCAGTGAAAAGCTGAAAGAAATGCTACTCGCACTCTGTGTTACTACATCTCCTGTATAACCTTTGGTAGTTAATTAATGAAAGTCACTAATGTTTCTTATATGTGTAACCAGTCCCTCAGACTTCAGCTCCCATCAAAAAGGCACCAGTTGGTTCCACTTGATTCTGGAAACTTGATAAAGCAAAAGTCTTGTCACTACACTGAGCCAGCCTGACCAGCCAGGCAGCACTGGACTCTCTGGAACACTTGGTGTGACCCAGGAAAACCTTGTGTATTATCTGCTACTATGAAAGACTTATGATTTAATCCCCTTGTTACACTCCCACGCAGAATTAACTCCTCTTTTGGGAGAGTAGCTACTCTGAGGTTACACTGCTTCTGCTCTGGGGAAAGCAACACATTTACAAGACCTGAAGACTGCAGGGGATCAGCACAAGAAGAAGTTACAGAACTGAAGCTTTTAAACAAGTAATTTCTTAATTCAGTAACATCTCAAGACTGAGACATTAGAAATTACAAACAGGTTACAAAATTTGACAGGAGGAGGTAGCCTGGGAGACCTGTCCCAACAGCACAGCACTGTTCCACCTTACTTCCCAGACTTCCACCTCAAAACAGTCTCTTGAAAATCACTGTCTGCATTTCAGTGAGTCTTCACAGACAGTCTGGGTCTGTTCTCACCAGGTCTTGTGTCAAAAAAGTCTCCCATAGCCAGAGCTGGGGCCTCTGATCCTACTTTGCTTCTCATCTACTCAGGCTTTGTACAAAACCAGCCTAACCAGGGACTGAAGCCTGACCAGCCATGGCAACAACTATAATAATTTTTTTGATGAAGAAATAAAAGCATACATATCTTTCCAAAGAAATAGTTTGGTTTGATGTACTAACAATGCAAGTCTACAATCTGTATCTCCCCATTACAACTAGATTACCTTAGAATCTGTTCAGGACACAGAGATATTCTTTTCATAAATTTATGAAACGTGTGGTCCCAGCTTTTGACTTCACTCTTCTCATATTTTTCATTACCACCTTCACCTGCAAAGCTGGAAGACAACAAGAAACAAGATGTCCAATAAGGTTTTCAGTATAACATGCATGTTTTAAATAAGCAGTGGTTACTATACACTCACATTAAATTACACTAAGTACACTAAACAAAACTATACATGTTAGGAGACAATTCCTATTAGGGGTTGCAAGTGAACATTCTGCTTCTGGTTCTTCAGTTTCTGGTGGCTTACAATTACCAACAGTGCTTCAAACTATCCCACGGGATTCAAATCCACCAGCTTTATTCCTTCAAAAAACCCTTTAGTAACTTCTCAAAAGTTTTTCTAGTTTTTAAATTATGATGTTGTCTTTTTCAGTTTTCAATCAAACATAATTAAGGTTCTATGATTCTATAAAAGTCAACAAAACTCAACAGGAACAGCACTGCTGACAAGTGTTCTATGCAGATTCTGCAAGGACAGTAGCTTTAGCTATAAACAAATTCAACATTGTCCACAACTCAGGAAAAGTCAAATGACCTGGATATAAGTGCTCACTGTGATCACCTAAGTTAAACATTTTATTAAGAAAATTTTTTCAGTAACTACATTCAAAAATTGTTTTTCAGAAAACCTTTACTAAACCTTCAGGAGTCTTACCATCATGACAGTCTCTAGCCAAAAATCCCTAAATCCCTGAACTCTTCAAAATGCAACTGCAACATAAGAAAAGCTTTAGCCTTGTAAAGAAAAAGTGTCAAATGTCACAATATAAACCCATGCCACTTAGCACAGATATTGTTTCAGCCACCCTGGTTTGTATCCAGAGATTGACTGTCCTTTGCTCTATCTAGAGCCCAAGAACATTCCAACTGCTCAGAAACAGATGCATCTTTGAAAAACTCAAAATTTGACAGAACTGGGTGCACTGTTCTGTTCTTCCACCAAACCAGTGTTCCTGAAGGAGCCAGTTCCAAACAAAATCATCCAGGTTTAGTGGCAGTCCCATTTAGATCATCAGTCAGCACAGAGGAAACTACACAATTCCTCCAGTTTCACCATGAAATCCAAACCTGTTCTCACCTTTCTGACATCATCTGTTCCAAATCAAGCCCCTCTCTCTGCTGATACTCCTTCAGTAGCTCATCTGCATGGTCTGTATCCAGGAAGCCACTGCAGTCTTCCTCATCCACCACATTAATATAAAAGGGTTGGAAGACAGGAGCAGGACCAGGTGTTTCCATTACCATTTCCTCACTGGCTGCAGGATGTGTGTCCTGGGAACCTGAGCCCTCTGCAGCCTCAGCCAAGCGAAGCTGTTGGAGCTGGGATGCACAGTCCAGCTCTCTGGACAAGGAGCTGCTCACTGCTTCACCTAAGCCCAGCAGGGAGGCACATGCAGGAGGCTCTGCTGCATCACTGACTCCCCAGTCATCCGCCTCCTCACACCAATCCTTTGCAGCAAAGTTTGATCCTTGTTTCTGAGAACCCCCCCAAAAAGGGAAAAGAACATTGTCAAGTCATCCACCCTTAAGGACTTCAAATACAGTTTCCTAACAGCAGAGAAAACTGAAACCTTAACCTAGTGCTCAGTGTTATTTCACATATTCTTCTCACAGTGTTACTTCCCATCATACATAGATTTACTTTTCACATCAGAACAGTTATGGCAAGGAACATCTCACGCTGGAGAATCAGAACAGGAATTCATCAGCTGTTTGAGTGGCCCTTGTCCATCCTGCTGCCATGGCCCTGCCAGCTGGCTGGGGACCTCCAGCTGCAGCACAGTTACTGCCACACAGGTAAGTTCAAGGGCAGAATGTGGAAGGAAGTAATAACAACAATAATGACACCACCATCATTTTGTCAGAGTAAAGCTCATTTACAGACCAAAATTTCACGTTGCAAATGCCCCAGCTGAATAAACAGTTCCTGCCTGTTTTCACTAATTTGACTGCCACCTGCTTCTTCCAATTTGCTTAAGCCAATATGCAGTTTTTTCTCACAAGTATATTAACAATACTTCAGTTGGATTCATTAAAACTCATGACAATTTTTTAAAAAATAAATTTAAATTAGAAAATAAAGAAAACATCTTAAAGGTCTGAACCTAAACAGTACAGCCCAACCATGTGAAGCTGAAAAATGATGTTTAGTTAGCACCACTAACTAAAGTATTAAATATCAATTTTGACCATACAGCTGAAGTATGATTTCCACTTTAAAATCATCCTAACACAACTTACATCTGTGATCTAATCTTCTAGTAAACAATGTAGTATGGTGTCAAAAATTCTGTGACATGACTTCTTCACACGACCACGCATGTGACTGGAAGCTAATGTATAGCACAGCTTCTGGAGAAACGTTGTGGTTACTTAAACAACGGGACATAAGGTGTGAAGCTCTTTCAGCTCAGCCGTGGCTCTATTTCCAAGCCTCCCCCCAGCCGTGGCGCAGCGGCGGGCAGGCTGTGAGCGGTACCTGTGTCACGGGGTGGGCTCGGGCTTCCTTCTCCTGCGCCTGCGAGTA